GATGGTGAGTGTGATGGTGAGTGTGATGGTGTGATGGTGAGTGTGATGGTGAGTGTGATGGTGTGATGGTGTGATGGTGAGTGTGATGGTGAGTGTGATGGTGAGTGTGATGGTGAGTGTGATGGTGTGATGGTGAGTGTGATGGTGAGTGTGATGGTGAGTGTGATGGTGAGTGTTGGAGGGAAGGGTTGTGATGGTGAGTGTGATGGTGAGTGTGATGGTGAGTGTGATGGTGTGATGGTGAGTGTGATGGTGAGTGTGATGGTGAGTGTGATGGTGTGATGGTGAGTGTGATGGTGAGTGTGATGGTGAATGTGATGGTGTGATGGTGAGTGTGATGGTGAGTGTGATGGTGAGTGTGATGGTGTGATGGTGAGTGTGATGGTGAGTGTGATGGTGTGTGTGATGGTGAGCATGATGGTGTGATGGTGAGTGTGATGGTGAGTGTGATGGTGAGTGTGATGGTGAGTGTGATGGTGTGATGGTGAGTGTGATGGTGAGTGTGATGGTGAGTGTGATGGTGAGTGTGATGGTGAGTGAGATGGTGAGTGTGATGGTGAGTATGATGGTGAGTGTGATGGTGAGATGGTGAGTGTGATGGTGAGTGTGATGGTGAGTGTGACGGTGAGATGGTGAGTGTGATGGTGAGTGTGATGGTGAGTGTGATGGTGAGTGTGGTGGTGAGTGTGATGGTGAGATGGTGAGTGTGATGGTGAGTGTGATGGTGAGTGTGATGGTGAGTGTGATGGTGAGTGTGATGGTGAGTGTGATGGTGAGATGGTGAGTGTGATGGTGAGTGTGACGGTGAGATGGTGAGTGTGATGGTGAGTGTGATGGTGAGTGTGATGGTGAGTGTGGTGGTGAGTGTGATGGTGAGATGGTGAGTGTGATGGTGAGTGTGATGGTGAGTGTGATGGTGAGTGTGATGGTGAGTGTGATGGTGAGTGTGATGGTGAGTGTGATGGTGAGTGTGATGGTGAGTGTGGTGGTGAGTGTGATGGTGAGATGGTGAGTGTGATGGTGAGTGTGATGGTGAGTGTGATGGTGAGTGAGATGGTGAGTGTGATGGTGAGTGTGATGGTGAGATGGTGAGTGTGATGGTGAGTGTGATGGTGAGTGTGAATGAGTGTGATGGTGAGTGTGATGGTGAGTGTGATGGTGAGTGTGATGGTGAGTGTGATGGTGAGTGTGACGGTGAGATGGTGAGTGTGATGGTGAGTGTGATGGTGAGTGTGATGGTGAGTGTGATGGTGAGTGTGATGGTGAGTGTGATGGTGAGTGTGATGGTGAGTGTGACGGTGAGATGGTGAGTGTGGTGGTGAGTGTGATGGTGAGTGTGATGGTGAGTGTGATGGTGAGTGAGATGGTGAGTGTGATGGTGAGTGTGATGGTGAGTGTGATGGTGAGTGTGATGGTGAGTGTGATGGTGATTGTGATGGTGAGTGTGATGGTGAGTGTGATGGTGTGATGGTGAGTGAGATGGTGAGTGTGATGGTGAGTGTGATGGTGAGTGTGATGGTGAGTGTGATGGTGTGATGGTGAGTGTGATGGTGAGTGTGATGGTGAGTGTGATGGTGAGTTTGATGGTGAGTGTGATAGTGAGTGTGATGGTGAGTGTGATGGTGAGTGTGATGGTGAGTGAGATGGTGAGTGTAATGGTGAGTGTGATGGTGAGTATGATGGTGAGTGTGATGGTGAGTGTGATGGTGAGTGTGATGGTGTGATGGTGAGTGTGATGGTGAGTGTGATGGTGTGATGGTGTGATGGTGAGTGTGATGGTGAGTGTGATGGTGAGTGTGATGGTGAGTGTGATGGTGTGATGGTGAGTGTGATGGTGAGTGTGATGGTGAGTGTGATGGTGTGATGGTGAGTGTGATGGTGAGTGTGATGGTGAATGTGATGGTGTGATGGTGAGTGTGATGGTGAGTGTGATGGTGAGTGTGATGGTGTGATGGTGAGTGTGATGGTGAGTGTGATGGTGTGTGTGATGGTGAGCATGATGGTGTGATGGTGAGTGTGATGGTGAGTGTGATGGTGAGTGTGATGGTGAGTGTGATGGTGAGTGTGATGGTGTGATGGTGAGTGTGATGGTGAGTGTGATGGTGAGTGTGATGGTGAGTGTGATGGTGAGTGAGATGGTGAGTGTGATGGTGAGTATGATGGTGAGTGTGATGGTGAGATGGTGAGTGTGATGGTGAGTGTGATGGTGAGTGTGACGGTGAGATGGTGAGTGTGATGGTGAGTGTGATGGTGAGTGTGATGGTGAGTGTGGTGGTGAGTGTGATGGTGAGATGGTGAGTGTGATGGTGAGTGTGATGGTGAGTGTGATGGTGAGTGTGATGGTGAGTGTGATGGTGAGTGTGATGGTGAGATGGTGAGTGTGATGGTGAGTGTGATGGTGAGTGTGACGGTGAGATGGTGAGTGTGATGGTGAGTGTGATGGTGAGTGTGATGGTGAGTGTGGTGGTGAGTGTGATGGTGAGATGGTGAGTGTGATGGTGAGTGTGATGGTGAGTGTGATGGTGAGTGTGATGGTGAGTGTGATGGTGAGTGTGATGGTGAGTGTGATGGTGAGTGTGATGGTGAGTGTGGTGGTGAGTGTGATGGTGAGATGGTGAGTGTGATGGTGAGTGTGATGGTGAGTGTGATGGTGAGTGAGATGGTGAGTGTGATGGTGAGTGTGATGGTGAGATGGTGAGTGTGATGGTGAGTGTGATGGTGAGTGTGACGGTGAGATGGTGAGTGTGATGGTGAGTGTGATGGTGAGTGTGATGGTGTGATGGTGAGATGGTGAGTGTGATGGTGAGTGTGATGGTGAGTGTGATGGTGAGTGTGATGGTGAGTGTGATGGTGAGTGTGATGGTGAGTGTGATGGTGAGTGTGATGGTAAGTGTGATGGTGTGATGGTGAGTATGATGGTGTGATGGTGAGTGTGATGGTGAGTGTGATGGTGAGTGTGATGGTGAGTGTGATGGTGAGTGTGATGGTGTGATGGTGAGTGTGATGGTGAGTGTGATGGTGAGTGAGATGGTGAGTGTGATGGTGAGTATGATGGTGAGTGTGATGGTGAGATGGTGAGTGTGATGGTGTGATGGTGTGTGTGATGGTGTGATGGTGAATGTGATGGTGAGTGTGATGGTGAGTGTGATGGTGTGATGGTGAGTGTGATGGTGAGTGTGATGGTGAGTGTGATGGTGAGTGTGATGGTGAGTGAGATGGTGAGTGTGATGGTGAGTATGATGGTGAGTGTGATGGTGAGATGGTGAGTGTGATGGTGAGTGTGATGGTGAGTGTGATGGTGAGATGGTGAGTGTGATGGTGAGTGTGATGGTGAGTGTGATGGTGAGTGTGATGGTGAGTGTGACGGTGAGATGGTGAGTGTGATGGTGAGTGTGATGGTGAGTGTGATGGTGAGTGTGATGGTGAGTGTGATGGTGAGTGTGATGGTGAGTGAGATGGTGAGTGTGATGGTGAGTGTGATGGTGAGTGTGATGGTGAGTGTGATGGTGAGTGTGATGGTGAGTGAGATGGTGAGTGTGATGGTGAGTGTGATGGTGAGTGTGATGGTGAGTGTGATGGTGAGTGTGATGGTGAGTGTGATGGTGAGTGTGATGGTGAGTGTGATGGTGAGTGAGATGGTGAGTGTGATGGTGAGTGTGATGGTGAGTGTGATGGTGAGTGAGTGTGATGGTGAGTGTGATGGTGAGTGTGATGGTGAGTGTGACGGTGAGTGTGATGGTGAGTGTGATGGTGAGTGTGATGGTGAGTGTGATGGTGAGTATGATGGTGAGTGTGATGGTGAGTATGATGGTGAATGTGATGGTGAGTGTGATGGTGAGTGTGATGGTGAGTGTGATGGTGAGTGTGATGGTGAGTGTGATGGAGAGTGACACGGTGAGTGTGATGGTGAGTGTGATGGTGAGTGTGATGGTGAGTATGATGGTGAATGTGATGGTGAGTGTGATGGTGAGTGTGATGGTGAGTGTGATGGTGTGATGGTGAGTGTGATGGTGAGTGAGTGTGATAGTGAGTGTGATGGTGAGTGTGATGGTGAGTGTGATGGTGTGATGGTGAGTGTGATGGTGAGTGAGTGTGATGGTGAGTGTGATGGTGAGTGAGTGTGATGGTGAGTGTGATGGTGAGTGTGATGGTGAGTGAGTGTGATGGTGAGTGAGTGTGGTGGTGAGTGTGATGGTGAGTGTGATGGTGAGATGGTGAGTGTGATGGTGAGTATGATGGTGAGTGTGATGGTGAGTGTGATGGTGAGTGTGATGGTGAGTGTGATGGTGAGTGAGTATGATGGTGAGTGTGGTGGTGAGGGTGATGGTGAGTGTGATGGTGAGTGTGATGGTGAGATGGTGAGTGTGATGGTGAGATGGTGAGTGTGATGGTGAGTGTGGTGGTGAGTGTGATGGTGAGTGTGATGGTGAGTGTGATGGTGAGTGTGGTGGTGAGTGTGATGGTGAGTGTGATGGTGAGATGGTGAGTATGATGGTGAGTGTGATGGTGAGTGTGATGGTGAGTGTGATGGTGAGTGTGAATGAGTGTGATGGTGAGTGTGATGGTGAGTGTGATGGTGAGTGTGATGGTGAGTATGATGGTGAGTGTGATGGTGATTGAGTATGATGGTGAGTGTGATGGTGAGTGTGATGGTGAGTGTGATGGTGAGTGTGATGGTGAGTGTGATGGTGTGATGGTGAGTGTGATGGTGAGTGTGATGGTGAGTGTGATGGTGAGTATGATGGTGAGTGTGATGGTGTGATGGTGAGTGTGATGGTGAGTGTGATGGTGAGTGTGATGGTGAGTGAGATGGTGAGTGTGATGGTGAGTGTGATGGTGAGTGTGATGGTGAGTGTGATGGTGAGTGTGATGGTGAGTGTGATGGTGTGATGGTGTGATGGTGAGTGTGATGGTGAGTATGATGGTGAGTGTGATGGTGAGTGTGATGGTGAGTGTGATGGTGAGTGTGATGGTGAGTGTGATGGTGAGTCTTTCCTCACCGCCCTGGGGAGTCGAAGTGGATGGAGACTGGGTAATTTGACGACTCTGCAAACAGCAACATTCCCTGCAGACACGCAAGAGACACGCGGATACATGTAGAGACATGTAGATAACATGTGGAGACACACAGAGACATGTGGAGACACACAGAGACACAGTGTGACACACAGAGACACACAGAGACACAGTGAGAGACACAGAGACACACAGAGGCAAAGTAAGACACACAGAGACACACAGAAACACAGTGAGACACACAGAGACACACAGAGACACACAGAGACAAACAGAGACACACAGAGACACACAGAGACACAGTGAGACACACAGAAACACACAGAGACACAGTGAGACACAGTGAGACACACAGAGACACACAGAGACACACAGAAACACAGTGAGACACACAGAAACACACAGAAACACAGTGAGACACACAGAGACACAGCGAGACACACAGAGACAGACAGAGACACACAGAGACACAGTGAGACACACAGAGACACACAGAAACACACAGGGACACAGAGACACACAGAGGCACACAGAGACACACAGAGACACAGTGAGACACACAGAGACACACAGAGACACACAGAGGCACAGTGAGACAGACAGAGACACACAGAGACACAGTGAGACACAGTGAGACACACAGAGACACAGTGAGACAAACAGAGACACACAGAGACACACAGAGACACAGTGAGACACACAGAGACACAGTGAGACACACAGAGACACAGTGAGACACACAGAGGCACACAGAGACACACAGAGACACAGTGAGACACACAGAGACACAGTGAGACACACAGAGACACAGTGAGACACAGTGAGACACTTGAGGATAAAGATGCTGCTGCTTCTGCTGATGATGATGCTGCTGATGATGCTGATGCTACTACTGCTGCTACTGATGCTGCTGATGCTACTGCTGCTGCTACTGCTGCTGCTGATGCTACTGCTGCTGCTACTGATGCTGCTGGTGCTACTGCTGCTGCTACTGATGCTGCTGATGCTGCTGCTGCTGCTACTGATGCTGGTGATGCTGCTGCTGCTGCTACTGATGCTGGTGATGCTGCTGCTGCTGCTACTGATGCTGCTGATGCTGCTGCTGCTGCTACTGATGCTGATGCTGCTGCTGCTGCCTGTGTTATACCTTGGTCTCCTTGAGGCAGAACGTGAGCTCCGTGCTGTCCCTGATCCTCACCGACTCGAACTCATCCACGCTCAGCACCAGGTTCGTGCGAGTGCTCTTAGCAATGTCTGTCGGGAACATCGTCGTCATCATCATCATCAGCAGCATCATCATCATCATCAGCAGCAGAGAACCGTCACTGGTGGTGGCAGTGAGCGGGAATCGAACCCGGGTCTCTGACGGGATTGTCGCACAGTGCTAACCACTGCGCCACCACTCCCTAAACAGACAAAGACAAAGATCCCCCAGGTAGCCTCTAGCAGGGCTGTAGGGGAAAGTGCTGTTAGCTAGCGAGTAGCAGCAGCAGTGTCTATGTACTACACACACCACACACAGACAAAGCTACCCCAGGTAGCCTCTAGCAGGGCTGTAGGGGCAAGTGCTGTTAGCTAGCGAGTAGCAGCAGCAGTGTCTATGTACTACACACACCACACACACAGACAAAGATCCCCCAGGTAGCCTCTAGCAGGGCTGCAGGGGCAAGTGCTGTTAGTAGCGAGTAGCAGCAGCAGTGTCTATGTACTACACACAGCATACACAGACAAAGCTCCCCCAGGTAGCCTCTAGCAGGGCTGTAGGGGCAAGTGCTGTTAGCTAGCGAGTAGCAGCAGCAGTGTCTATGTACTACACACACCACACACAAAGCTACCCCAGGTAGCCTCTAGCAGGGCTGTAGGGGCAAGTGCTGTTAGTAGCGAGTAGCAGCAGCAGTGTCTATGTACTACACACACCACACACAGACACACAGACAAAAAAACACACACCACACACAGACACACACACAAACAACAACAACCGCCATTCACCACTAAGTGGCGGTGACGTCACCACGACGCTTGTGCCAGGCCATGTGCACCTTAGGTCACGGGGCAGACCCAGGTGCCATGGGTCGACTGACTGAGATGACTGGCTGATGCACCACCTGTGCCCCCTACTGTGCCAACCTGCTGTGCTTCAGCCACCCGGCGCTCCGCTCGTTGTTGTGAGCGTCGCTCCTCCGCCCTCCGTTGTTGTTGGAGGGCGACTGCCTCCAACTGCCCAGTAGCATCCTTCACGAGCCTCCTCCACAGAGGCCGATCTTCACACCGCTGGTACCAGTCATCGGCAAGTCCACTCAGCTCCACGTCCTCCCATACCACATCACTCCATCTCTTCTCTAGCCCGTGCCGTGCCCGTTTAGCCCCCTCAATCCGGCCGGACAAAAGCTGTTTCGGCATGCGGTGGCTGGGCATGCGGGCTACATGACCCAGCCATCGCAGCCTTGCCCGCCGGAGGAGCTCACCGATGGGACCTTGCCCAGATCTTTCAAGGATTTGTGAGCTCCTCACGCAATCTAGTTTGGTTAAACCCAGGATGGATCGTAGGCAGGCCAGCCTAAATGTTTCTAACCGGCGAAGATGTTCCATTAGGGGGGTCCACGTTTCGCAAGCGTAGAGAAGGGAGGGAATGACCGTGGCCGACAATACCTGAAGCTTAGTGCAGAGCGACAGACCAGGTAGCTTCCACACAGCGTTACGCAACCGATGAAAAGATATTGCCGCTCGACTGATTCGGAGTGAGACCTCTGCTGTTAAACTGGAGCCGGTCATAAGCACACTGCCCAGGTATGGGAAACTCTCCACTCTCTCCACAACTGCCCCATCACCGATTGGGAGTTGTGGGGGTGGAGTGTCCGATGGTACAAAATACCCAGGCAGATGCTTAGTTTTGGTGGGGCTGATGGTAAGGCCCCACCTCTTAGTGGCACGCTCCAGTCTCAGCAGCAGCGTCTCCAACTCCTCCTCTGAATGAGCAGCTATTACCAAATCATCGGCATGCATAACGTGGTTGAGCAATAGGGAGCCATCCCTTGAATGCACCCGGGCATCGATCAGCCTCCCATTATATCTTTACCATAGGGAGATTCCCCCGGTACAGCTATTGAAGGCTTCACGAACTACGTGGTCAAAATAGATGTTAAATAATGTGGGAGCCAGAGGACATCCCTGTCGCACCCCAAGGTGTACAGGGAATGGCTCGGACTCCTGGCCACGTAGTTTTACCCGGGCCCGTTCACCATCATGAAGGTCCTTAATGATCGTGAGCAGAGGGTCAGGGACTCCAAAAGCACGAAGAACAACCCAGAGCCCAGGCCTACTGATGGTATCATAGGCCTTGACCAGGTCAATAAAGCAGAGATGTAGGTCTTGCTGGAATTCCCTACACCTCTGCTGTAGCAGACGGACAGAAAATATGGCATCTGTGCAGGACCGCCCTTTCCTGAAACTGCACAGACAAACACAAAGATCAAAGACCACCACCACACAGACTCACACACACCACCACACACCACCACCACACACACACACAGACTCACACACACCACCACACAGCACCACACACCACCACCACACACACACACACCACCACCGCACACACCACCACACACCACCACACACCACCACCACACACACACAAACACACACACACCCCCACCACCGCACACAAAACAAAGATCCCCCGTGTAGCCTTAACAGACTGTAGGGGCAAGTGCTGTTAGCGAGCACCTATGAAGGCCGGAACGGTACACGAGGGGGTGGGTGGCCAGCACCACGCCCGACCGCCTTTGTATCCCCAGTGGCGATGTTTACACATCGCACCAGGTACTCATTTGAGGCTGAGTCGACCTAGGGGAGGCCCGGGACCGGTTCAGATATTCGTCACTGGTGTTGGCCGTGAGCGGGAATCGAACCCGGGTCGCCAGGTTCATAGCGCAGCGTAGCGCTAACCACTACACTACCGCTCCCCACAGTGACACACACACACACAGACACATACACACACACACAGACACACACACACCACCACCACACACACACACACACCACCACCACACACACACACACAGACACACAGACAGACAGACACACACAGACACACACACACCACCACCACACACACACACAGATACACAGACAGACACACAGACACACACACAGTGACACACACACACAGTGACACACACACACAGTGACACACACACAGTGACACACACACAGTGACACACACAGTGACACACACACAGTGACACACACACAGTGACACACACAGTGACACACACACAGTGACACACACACACAGTGACACACACACACAGTGACACACACACAGTGACACACACACACAGTGTGACACACACACACACAGTGACACACACACAGTAACACACACACAGTGACACACAGACACACACACAGTGACACACACACCACCACACACCACCACCGCACACACACACACACACAGGGCGTTGCCGTGGCGACCTACCGATGCTCTCGTCGGGCACGTTGCTAAGGGTGACGTGCGTTGCTAAGGGTGACGTGCGTTGCTAAGGGTGACGTGCGTGGGCGAGGCGGTGAGGCGGGCGTTGCCGTGGCGACCCACCGACGCTCTCGTCGGGCACGTTGCTAAGGGAGACGTGAGTGGGCGAGGCGGTGAGGCGGGCGTTGCCGTGGCGACCCACCGACGCCCTCGTCGGGCACGTTGCTAAGGGTGACGTGAGTGGGCGAGGCGGTGAGGCGGGCGTTGCCATGGCGACCCACCGACGCTCTCGTCGGGCACGTTGCTAAGGGTGACGTGCGTGGGCGAGGCGGTGAGGCGGGCGTTGCCGTGGCGACCCACCGATGCCCTCGTCGGGCACGTTGCTAAGGGTGACGTGAGTGGGCGAGGCGGTGAGACGGGCGTTGCCATGGCGACCCACCGATGCTCTCGTCGGGCACGTTGCTAAGGGTGACGTGAGTGGGCGAGGCGGTGAGGCGGGCGTTGCCGTGGCGACCCACCGACGCTCTCGTCGGGCACGTTGCTAAGGGAGACGTGAGTGGGCGAGGCGGTGAGGCGGGCGTTGCCGTGGCGACCCACCGACGCTCTCGTCGGGCACGTTGCTAAGGGTGACGTGAGTGGGCGAGGCGGTGAGGCGGGCGTTGCCGTGGCGACCCACCGATGCCCTCGTCGGGCACGTTGCTAAGGGTGACGTGAGTGGGCGAGGCGGTGAGGCAGACCTCCTCGTGGACGCCGTGGAAGTGGACCAGGGCGTCGGACAGCAGCCTGGGGGACACGCACGGCAACGGTCGCCGCGGCGACGAGGACCGCGGCAACGGTCGCCGCGGCGACGAGGACCGCGGCAACGAGGACCGCGGCAACGGTCGCCGCGGCGACGAGGACCACTCGCTCACTTACTTACCCACACACTCACACACTCACCCACTCACTCAACCACTCACTCACCCACTCACCCACTAACTCACTCACCAACTCACTCACCCACTCACTCACTCAGCCACTCACTCACCCACTCACCCACTCACTCACTCACCCACATCGCCAACTCACTCTACCACTCACTCACCAAATCACTCTACCACTCACCAACTCACTCACCCACTCACTCACTCACCCACACACTCACTCACTCACTCACACACTCACTCACTCACCCACTCACCCACTCACTCACTCACCCACTCACCCACTCACCAACTCACCCACCCACTCACCCACTCACCCACTCACTCACCCACTCACTCACTCACTCACCCACTCACTCACCCACTCACTCACCCACTCATCTACTCACTCACTCACTCACCCACTCACTCACCCACCCACCAGCTCACTCTACCACTCACCCACCAACTCACCCAGCCACCAACTCACTCACTCACTCACCCACTCACTCATCCACTCACTCACTCACCCACTCACTCACCTACTCACTCACTCACACACCCACTCACTCACTCACCTACTCACTCACTCACCCACTCACTCACTCACCTACTCACTCACTCACCCACTCACTCACTCACCTACTCACTCACTCAACCACTCACTCACTCAACCACTCACTCACTCACTCACCAACTCACTGACTCACCCACCAGCTCACTCTACCACTCACCCACTCACTCACCCACTCACTCATCCACCCACTCACTCACTCACTCACCCACTCACCCACTCACCAACTCACTCAACCACTCACTCTACCACTCACCCACTCACTCACCAACTCACACACTCACTCACCCACTCACTCACCCACCAACTCACTCACTCACTCACACACTCACTCACCCACTCAATCACTCACTCACCCACTCACTCACTCACCTACCAGCTTACTCTACCACTCATCAACTCACTCACTCACCCACCAGCTCACTCTAGCACTCACCCACCAACTCACCCACCCACCAACTCACCCACCCACCAACTCACTCACTCACTCACCCACTCACTCACCCACGCACTCACCTACTCACTCACACACTCACTCACACATTCACTCACTCACTCACCAACTCACTCACTCACCACTCACTCTACCACTCACCCACTCACTCACTCAACAACTCACTCAGTTACTCACCCACCCACCCACTCACTCACGCACCCACCCACTCACCCACTCACTCACCTACCCAGCCACCCACTCACTCACCCCCCCACCCACTCACCCACTCACCCACCCACTCATTCACTCACCCACTCACACACTCACTCACCAACTCACTCACCCACTCACTCACCCACCAACTCACTCACCCACTCAATCACCCACCAACTCACTCTACCACTCACCCACTCATTCTACCACTCACTCACCAACTCACTCACCTACTCACTCACTCACCCACTCACTCACCTACTCACTCACTCACTCACCCACTCACTCACTCACTCACCAACTCATTCACTCACTCACTCACTCACCAACTCACTCACTTACTCACAAACTCACACACTCACCGACTCACTCACCTACTCACCCACCCACTCACCCACCCACCCACCCACCCACTCACTCACCAACTTACTCACCAGCTCACTCTACCACCCACCAACTCACTCTACCACCCACCAACTCACTTTACCACCCACCCATCAACTCACTCTACAACTCACTCACCCACCCACCAACTCACTCACCCACTCACCATCCCCCACCCACACCCACCCCCAACCCCCCCACCCACCCACACCCCACCCACACCACCCCCACCCACCCACCCCCCACCCACCCCCACCCCCCCCACCCACCCACCCCCACCCTCACCTCGCTGGTGCTCTCAGCTCGTTGGGGCTGCCGCTTTTACTGAAGGAGGCCTCCACATTGTCCACGTCAGAGAAGCACAGATGGCGGGTCGTGGTGACGCCTGCAGCAACAACAACAACAACAATAATAATCACCACAACAACAATCAACAATCACCACAACAACAACAACAACAATAATCACCACAACAACAATCAACACAACAACAACAACAATCACCACAACAACAATCAACAACCACAATAACAACAATCACCAACCACAATCACCACAACAACAACAATCACCACAACAACAACAATCACCACAACAACAACAATCACCAACCACAATCACCACAACAACAACAATCACCACAACAACAACAACAATAATCACCACAACAACAATCACCACAACAACAACAATAATCACCACAACAACAATCACCACAACAACAATCACCACAACAACAACAATCACCACAACAACAACAACAATAATCACCACAACAACAATCACCACAACAACAATAATCACCACAACAACAATCACCACAACAACAATCACCACAACAACAATAATCACCACAACAACAACAATCACAACAACAACAATAATCACCACAACAACAATCACCACAACAACAACAATAATCACCACAACAACAATCACCACAACAACAACAACAACAATAATCACCACAACAACAATCACCACAACAACAACAACAACAATAATCACCACAACAACAATCACCACAACAACAACAACAATCACCACAACAACAACAACAACAACAATCACCACAACAACAACAATCACCACAACAACAATCACCACAACAACAATCACCACAACAACAACAATCACCACAACAACAATCACCACAACAACAACAACAACAACAATAATCACCACAACAACAATCACCACAACAACAACAACAACAATAATCACCACAACAACAATCACCACAACAACAATAATCACCACAACAACAACAATCACCACAACAACAACAACAATCAACAACAACAATCACCACAACAACAACAATCAACCACAACAACAACAATCACCACAACAACAACAATCACCACAACAACAACAATCACCACAACAACAACAATCACCACAACAACAATCACCACAACAACAACAACAATCACCACAACAACAACAACAATCAACCACAACAACAACAATCACCACAACAACAACAATCACCACAACAACAACAATCACCACAACAACAATCACAACAACAACAATCACCACAACAACAACAATCACCACAACAACAACAATCACCACAACAACAATCAACAACCACAATAACAACAACAAACAACCACCACAATAACAACAACCAAAAACCTCAACAACAACAATCAACAACCACCACAACAACAACCACAACAACAACCAACCACAACAACAACCACAATAACAACAACAATCAACAACCACCACAACCACCACAATAACAACAACCACCACAGTAACAACAACCACCACAACAACAACCACCACAATAACAAGCACAACAACAACAATCAACAACAACAACAACAACCACCACAGTAACAACAACAACCACAATAACAAGCACAACAACAACAATCAACCACAACAACCACCACAATAACAAAAACAATCAACAACAACCACAACAACCACCACCACAATAACAACAACAACCACAATAACAAGCACAACAACAACAATCAACAACAACCACCACCACAACAACAACCACCACAGCATCACGCTGCGTGTATGGGCGTGTGTGTGTCTGTGTGTGTCTGTCTGTGTGTGTCACTGTGTGTGTGTGTCACTGTGTGTGTGTGTGTGTCACTGTGTGTGTGTATGTGTGTGTGTCTGTGTGTGTGTCTGTGTGTGTGTGTGTGTGTGTGTCTGTGTGTGTGTCTGTGTGTGTCACTGTGTGTGTGTCACTGTGTGTGTGTGTGTCTGTGTGTGTGTGTCCATGTGTGTGTTCTGTGCGTTCTGTGTGTATGTGTCTATATGTGTGTCTGTGTGTGTGTGTGTGTCTGTGTGTGTGTCTGTTCTGTGTGTGTCTCTGTGTGTTCTGTGTGTCTCTGTGTGTCTCTGTGTGTTTCAGTGTGTCTCACTGTGCCTCTGTGTGTCTCTGTGTGTCTCTGTGTGTTTCTGTGTGTCTCTGTGTGTTTCTGTGTGTCTCACTGTGTCTCTGTGTGTCTCTGTGTGTGTGTCTATGTGTGTGTCTGTGTGTCTGTGTGTGCGTTCTGTGTGTGTGTGTGTATGTGGGGAGCGGTAGTGTAGTGGTTAGCGCTACGCTGCGCTACGAACCCAGCAGAGACTCGAGTTCCATTCCCAATCACGGCCAGCACCGGTGACAATTATCTGAACCGGTCCTGGGCCTCCCCTAGGTGGACTCAGCCTCAAATGAGTACCGGGTGCGATGTGTCGTAAAGATCGCCAATTGGTGAGTAAGGGAGTGGGTGAATGAATGGGTGGATGGGTGGGTGAGTGAATAAGTGGATGAGTGGGTGAGTGAGTGGGTGAGTGGGTGAGTGAATAAGTGGGTGAGTGGGTGGATGAGTGAATAAGTGGGTGAGTGAGTGGGTGGGTGGATGAGTGGGTGGGTGATTCACAGAGTGAGTGGGTGCATGAGTGGGTCAGTGGGTGAGTGAGTTAGTGAGTGGGTGAGTGAGTTACTGAGTGGGTGAGTGAGTGAGTGAGTGACTGAGTGTGTGGGTGCGTGAGTGGGTGAGTGGGTGAGTGAACGGGTGAGTGGGTGAGTGGGTGAGTGAGTGAGTGGGTGAGTGAGCGGGTGGGTAAGTGAGTGGGTGAGTGAGTGAGTGGGTGGGTGAGTGAGTTTGTGAGTGGGTGAGTGAGTGGGTGAGTGAGTGAGTGAGTGGGTGAGTGAGTGAGTGAGTGGGTGAGTGGGTGAGTGAGTGAGTGGGTGAGTGAGTGGGTGAGTGAATGGGTGAATGAGTGGGTGAATGAGTGGGTGAATGAGTGGGTGAGTGGGTGAGTGAGTGAGTGGGTGGGTGGGTGGGTGAGTGAGTGGGTGGGTGAGTGAGTGAGTGAGTGGGTGGGTGGGTGGGTGAGTGAGTGGGTGGGTGAGTGAGTGAGTGGGTGAATGAGTGGGTGAGTGAGTGGGTGAGTGAGTGGGTGAGTGGGTGAGTGAGTGGGTGAGTAAGTGAGTGGGTGAGTGAGTGGGTGAGTGAATGGGTGAGTGAGTGGGTGAGTAAGTGGGTGAATGAGTGGGTGAGTGAGTGGGTGAGTGAGTGAGTGGGTGAGTGAGTGAGTGGGTGAGTGGGTGAGTGAGTGAGTGAGTGGGTAAGTGGGTGAGTGGGTGAGTGAGTGGATGAGTGAGTGAGTGAGTGGGTGAGTGGGTGAGTGAGTGAGTGAGTGGGTGAGTGAGTGAGTGGGTGAGTGAGTGAGTGGGTGAGTGGGTGAGTGGGTGAGTGAGTGGGTGAGTGGGTGAGTGAATGGGTGAGTGAATGAGTGAGTGAGTGGGTGAGTGGGTGAGTGGGTGAGTGGGTGAGTGAGTGAGTGGGTGAGTGGGTGAGTGAATGGGTGAGTGAGTGGGTGAGTGAGTGAGACCCACAGAGCCCCCACAGACTTGAGGGTGGTGAGCTGCGTTACCGCGAAAACACCGCATCTGGATGATGAGGCGACACGTTTTGGGGTTGAGTATAATGCGGCACTGCTCCACCGCCTTGTCCAGCGAGCCCGTGGCCCTGAACACAGAGAGCATGGCCTACACACACAGCCACACGCAGACACACAGACACACACAGATACATATATACTCAGACACACACACACACAGCCACATAGACACACACAGACACACACAGACACACACACAGACACACAGACACACACAGACATACACAGACACACACTTACACACACACATACACAACAACAACCGCCATTCACCACTAAGTGGCGGTGACGTCACCACGACGCTTGTGCCAGGCTATGTGCACCTTGAGGCCACGTGAAGTGTCGAACGCCCGCTGGCAGGAGGTCACGGGGCAGACCCAGGTGCCACGGGTCGACTGACTGAGATGACTGGCTGATGCACCACCTGTGCCCCCTACTGTGCCAACCTGCTGTGCTTTAGCCACCTGGCGCTCCGCTCGTTGTTGTGAGCGTCGCTCCTCCGCCCTCAGTTGTTGTTGGAGGGCGACTGCCTCCAACTGCCCAGTAGCGTCCTTCACGAGCCTCCTCCACAGAGGCCGATCTTGACACCGCTGGTACCAGTCATCGGCAAGTCCACTCAGCTCCACGTCCTCCCGTACCACATCACTCCATCTCTTCTCTAGCCCGTGCCGTGCCCGTTTAGCCCCCTCGATCCGGTCGAACAAAAGCTGTTTCGGCATGCGGTGGCTGGGCATGCGGGCTACATGACCCAGCCAACGCAGCCTTGCCTGCCGGAGGAGCTCACCGATGGGACCCTGCCCAGATCTTTCAAGGATTTGTGAGCTCCTCACACAATCCAGTTTGGTTAAACCCAGGATGGATCGTAGGCAGGCTAGCCTAAATGTGTCTAACCTGCAAAGATGTTCCGTTAGGGGGGTCCACGTTTCGCAAGCGTAGAGAAGGGAGGGAATGACCGTGGCTGAGAAGACCTGAAGCTTAGTGCGGAGCGACAGACCAGGTAGCTTCCACACAGCGTTACGCAACCGATGAAAAGATATTGCCGCTCGACTGATTCGGAGTGAGACCTCTGCTGTTAAACCGGAGCCAGTCATGAGCACACTGCCCAGGTATGGGAAACTCTCCACTCTCTCCACAACTGCCCCATCACCGATTGGGAGTTGTGGGGGTGGAGTGTCCGATGGTACAAAATACCCAGGCAGGTGCTTAGTTTTGGTGGGGCTGATGGTAAGGCCCCACCTCTTAGTGGCACGCTCCAGTCTCAGCAGCAGCGTCTCCAACTCCTCCTCTGAATGAGCAGCTATTACCAAATCATCGGCATACATAACGTGGTTGAGCAATAGGGAGCCATCCCTTAACCGCACCCGGGCATCGATCAGCCTCCCATTATATCTGTACCATATGGAGATTCCCCCGGTACAGCTATTGAAGGCTTCACGAACTACGTGGTCGAAATAAATGTTAAATAATGTAGGAGCCAGAGGACATCCCTGTCGCACCCCAAGGTGTACAGGGAATGGCTCCGACTCCCGGCCATGTACAGTGAGGGAAAAAAGTATTTGATCCCCTGCTGATTTTGTACGTTTGCCCACTGACAAAGAAATGATGAGTCTATACTTTTAATGGTAGGTTTATTTGAACAGTGAGAGACAGAATAGCAATAACAAAAATCCAGAAAAACGCACGTCAAAAATGTTATAAATCGATTTGCATTTTAATGAGGGAAATAAGTATTTGACCCCTCTGCAAAACGTGACTCAGTACTTGGTGGCAAAACCCTTGTTGGCAATCACAGAGGTCAGACGTTTCTTGTAGTTGGCCACCAGGTTTTGGACACATCTCAGGAGGGATTTTGTCCCACTCCTCTTTTGCAGATCTTCTCCAAGTCGTTAAGGTTTTCGAGGCTGACGTTTGGCAACTCGAACCTTCAGCTCCCTCCACAGATTTTCCTACGGGATTAAGGCACTGGAGACTGGCTAGGGCCACTCCAGGACCTTAATGTGCTTCTTCTTGAGCCACTCCTTTGTTGATTTGGCCGTGTGTTTTTTGGGTCATTGCCATGCCGGAATGCCCATCCACGACCCATTTTCAGTGCCCTGGCCGAGGGGAAGGGAGGTTCTCACCCAAAAATTTGACGGTGCATGGCCCCGTCCATCGTCCCTTTGATGCGGCGAAGTTGTCCTGTCCCCCTTAGCAGAAAAACACCACCCCAGAGCGTAATGTTTCCGCCTCCATGTTTGCCGGTACCTTCACGCTGATCCTGCAGCGGAAGGTCTCCTCGGCAACGTCGTCGCCCTGGCAACGGTCGCCACGGAGACGACCTCCATCGCCACGGCGACGGTGCTCGTAGTGCAGGAAGCAGAGGTGGGAGAGGAGGAAACTGGCGTAGGCCGAGCGGCACGAGTTGACGGCACGCAGGGAGAGCTGGGGGCACACCACACGCTCGCTCACTCAGTCACTCACTCACTCACTCGTTCACTCACTCACACACACACTTACTCACACGCTCGCTCACTCACTCAGTCACTCAGTCACTCACTCACTCACACACTCAGTCACTCACTCGTTCACTCACTCAGTCAGTCACTCACACACTCAGTCACACACTCACTCAGTCACTCACTCACTCAGTCACTCACTCACCCAGCCACTCACTCACTCACTCACACGCTCGCTCACTCAGTCACTCAGTCACTTACACACTCACACACTTACTCACTCACACGCTCGCTCACTCACTCAGTCACTCAGTCACTCACTCACTCACTTACACACTCATTCACTTACACACTCACTCACTCACACAGTCACTCACTCACTAACTCACTCACTTACACACTCACACGCTCGCTCACTCACTCAGTCACTCACTCAGTCACTCAGTCACTCACTCACTCAGTCACTCAGTCAGTCACTCAGTCAGTCACTCACTTACTCAGTCACTCACTCAGTCACTCACTCACTCAGTCACTCACACACTCAGTCACTCACACACTCAGTCACTCACTCAGTCACTCACTCACTCAGTCACTCACTCACTCACTCGTTCACTCACTCACTCACTCGTTCACTCACTCACTCAGTCACTGACACACTCAGTCACTCACTCGTTCACTCACTCACTCAGTCACTCACACACTCAGTCACACACTCACTCACACACTCACTCACACACTCACTCAGTCACTCACACGCTCGCTCACTCACTCACTCAGTCACTCACACACTCAGTCACTCACACACTCACACACTCACTCAGTCACTCACTCAGTCACTCACTCACTCACTCGTTCACTCACTCACTCAGTCACTCACACACTCACTCACTCGTTCACTCACTCACTCAGTCACTGACACACTCAGTCACACACTCACACACTCACTCACACTCACTCGTTCACTCACTCACTCACTCACCCACTCACCCACCCACTCACCCACTCACTCACCCACTCACCCACCCACTCACTCACCCACCCACCCACTCACTCACTCACCCACTCACCAACTTACTCACCAGCTCACTCTACCACCCACCAACTCACTCTACCACTCACTCACCATATCACTCTACCACTCACTCACCCACCAACTCACCCGCTCACCCACCCACCAACTCACTCTACCACCCACCAACTCACTCTACCACTCACTCACCCACCCAACAACTCACTCTACCACTCACTCACCCACCCACCAACTCACTCACCCACCCACCTACCAACTCACTCACACATACACTCACTCACACACCCACTCACTCATTCACTCACTCACCCATTCACTTATTCACTCACCCACTCACCCATTCACTCATCCACCCACTCACTCACCCAGCCACTCACTCAGCCACTCACTCAGCCACTCACTCACCCACTCACCCACCCACTCACCCACCCACTCACTCACCTACCCACACACCCACCCACCAACTCACCCACACACTCACCCACCCACTCACTCACCCACCCACCCACTCACCCACTCACTCACTCACACACTCACTCACCCACCCACTCACTCACTCACTCACCCACTCACCCATTCACTCATCCACCCACTCACTCATCCACTCACTCACTCATCCACTCACTCACTCATCCACTCATTCACTCACCCACCCACTCACCCACCCACTCACCCACACACTCACCCACTCACCCACCCACTCAACCACTCACTCACCCACCCATCCACCCACTCACCCACCCACTCACCCACTCACCCACCCACTCACCCACCCACCCACTCAACCACTCACCCACCCACTCACCCACACACTCACCCACTCACTCACCCACCCACCCACCAACTCACTCACCCACTCACCCACCCACTCAACCACTCAATCACCCACCCATCCACCCACTCACCCACCCACTCACCCACCCACCCACCCACTCACCCACCCACCCACTCAACCACTCACCCACCCACTCACCCACCCACCCACTCACCCAATCACTCACTCAACCACCCACTCACCCACTCACTCACTCAACCACCCACCCACTCACTCACCCCCTCAGGTAAGGCTGCCAGGTGAATTTCTTCTCCAAATTTCGCAAGGGACTGAACGGCTCTGCCCAACACTGCAAACATCATCATCATCACATTATCATAATCAGCACATCATCGTCATCATCATCATCACATCATCATCACATCATCATCAGCACATCAACATCACAGCAGCATCACATCATCATCAAATAATCATCATATCAGCACATCATCATCATCACATCATCATCATCACATTATCATCATCAGCACATCATCAGCATCAGCACATCGTCATCATCACATCATCATCATCACATCGTCATCATCATCACATCATCATCATCACTACGTCATCATCATCACATCAACATCAGCACATCATCATCATCAGCACATCAACATCACATCAGAATTACATCATCAAATCATCACATCATCATCAGCACATCGTCATCATCATTACATCAGCACAACAACAGTCATATGGGAGCCTCAGTCTGGCTCTGTGAGTCTCAGTGATTAACACTGAACCCTGTGGGAGCCACAGTCTGGCTCTGTGAGCCTCAATGATTAACACTGAACCCTGTGGGAGCCTTAGTCTGGATCTGTGAGTCTCAGTGATTAACACTGAACCCTGTGTGAGGGAGCCTTAGTCTGGCTCTGTGAGCCTCAGCGATTAACACTGAACCCTGTGGGAGCCTCAGTCTGGCTCTGTGAGCCTCAGTGATTAACACTGAACCCTGTGGGAGCCTTAGTCTGGCTCTGTGAGTCTCAGTGATTAACACTGAACCCTGTGGGAGGCTCAGTCTGGCTCTGTGAGTCTCAGTGATTAACACTGAACCCTGTGGGAGCCTTAAGTCTGGCTCTGTGAGTCTCAGTGATCAACACTGAACCCTGTGGGAGCCTCAGTCTGGCTCTGTGAGTCTCAGTGATTAACACTGAACCCTGTGGGAGCCTTAGTCTGACTCTGTGAGTCACAGTGATTAACACTGAACCCTGTGGGAGCCTCAGTCTGACTATATGAGCCTCAGTGATTAACACTGAACCCTGTGGGAGCCTTAGTCTGACTATATGAGCCTCAGTGATTAACACTGAACCCTGTGGGAGCCTTAGTCTGGCTCTGTGAGTCTCAGTGATTAACACTGAACCCTGTGGGAGCCTCAGTCTGGCTCTGTGAGCCTCAGTGATTAACACTGAACCCTGTGGGAGCCTTAGTCTGGCTCTGTGAGCCTCAGTGATTAACACTGAACCCTGTGGGAGTCCCAGTATGGTTCTGTGAGTCTCAGTGATTAACACTGAACCCTGTGGGAGCCTTAGTCTGGCTCTGTGAGCCTCACAGCGATTAACACTGAACCCTGTGGGAGACTTAGTCTGGCTCTGTGAGTCTCAGTGATTAACACTGAACCCTGTGGGAGCCTCAGTCTGGCTCTGTGAGTCTCAGTGATTAACACTGAACCCTGTGGGAGCCTCAGTCTGACTATATGAGCCTCAGTGATTAACACTGAACCCTATGGGAGCCTTAGTCTGGCTCAGTGAGCCTCAATCGTAGGTTAAAAAAACCGCACGCAAACATTTCTGAGGTAAATTATCATCAAATAATGTCGAGTAAATTTTTTTTTTTAAACCCCCATTGCCGGATGTTGATTAAAAGGAAGAAAAAAAATTAATGCATCGTTAAATAATGTTGATTTTTTAACAACAACAACAAATATACACGTACATTTTCTTTGGTTCTTTCGGTAAAGTCACGTAGTTATTTCAATGCTAAATTCTCCTGTTTGATTTGTACTAAGTGCCTCGGTGAATGTGTATGCTCTGACTTTAACGTGTATGCTTTAACTTAGCTATTTCAATGCTAAATTGTATGAGTAACAAGCTAATCATTCAGCTATTTCAATGCTAAATTATATGCTAATTCCTTTGTCAAGGCGCTTTGTTTCCTCTCACAGAGCTTAAAGGTCGCGATCTGAACGTGGCTCTTTCACTCCAGCGCTGTCCTACCAGACAGTCTCGTCCCTTCACCTGATGAAGGCCGCGTGTGTTGTGGCCGAAACGTCAAATCTACGTGACTTTACCGAAAGAACCAAAGAAGATGAATCATTGCAGTCACGAAAGCTTTAAATCGAAAAATACACGTACATTGTAAAAAAAAAATGTTGATGTTAAAAACAAAAATAAAATCGAATCCGACCTTTCACATTGCTCCCGGGGAGAACGCACTTCATGTCTGAGCCGCGACATGCGAAGAATAAGTTGTTGTTGTGCTGTTTATTTGTTGATGTTGTTAACTCTTATAAACGTCGACTACTGTACCCGTTTCCCGCCAAACGCCATTGGCCCATCGATTCCTCACAGAGTCCCCACGATTCACCAACCGATTCTTCTGAATCGATTCACCGTCCGCCACCAATAACGTTGGGAGACCAATGCTCAGCAGACTCGATTCCAACGAATCGAAGCCAACGTTGCGCCCTCATTATTTTCAACGCGGAATCGCCGATTGCTAAACTTTGGTCGACTCGCGACCCGGAATCGATTCTTTCGATGTTTATAATCGATGACGTCGGGAGACTTGATCAATCCACTGTTGGATGGAACCGTGAATATTGATCCATCAGTGTGAACGTTAAACTATGGAGCTTTGTCGTTTTGTTTTTACGGCAGGGCGAACCCACACGCGCTCCTGCATACCAGGCCACTACGTTGTCTCACTCACTCACCCAGACACTCACTCACCCACTCACTCACCCACTCACTCACTCACCCACTCACTCACCCACCCATTCACTCACCCAGTCACTCACTCACCCACTCACTCACCCACTCACTCACCCACTCACTCACTAACTCACTCACTCACCCACTCACTCACACACCCACTCACTCACTCACCCACTCACCCACTCACTCACTCACCCAGTCACTCACCCATTCACTCACTCACCCACTCACCCACCCACTCACTCACCCACCCACCCATTCACTCACTCACCCACTCACTCACCCACTCACTCACCCATTCACTCACCCACTCACTCACCCATTCACTCACCCACTCACTCACCCACTCACCCACTCACTCACCTACTCACTCACTCACCCATTCACTCACCCAGTCACTCACCCACCCACCCATTCACTCACCCAGTCACTCACTCACCCAGTCACCCACCCATTCACTCACCCAGTCACTCACCTACTCACTCACTCACCCATTCACTCACCCAGTCACTCACTCACTCACCCATTCACTCACTCACCCATTCACTCACCCAATCACTCACTCACCCATTCACTCACCCACCCATTCACTCACCCAGTCACTCACCCACTCACTCAACCACTCACTCACTCAGGCACCCACTCACTCACTCACCCACTCACTCACCTACTCACTCACCCACTCACTCACTCACCCACCCATTCACTCACCCAGTCACTCACTCACCCACCCACTCACTCACCCACTCACTCACTCACCCACTCACCCACTCACTCACTCACCCACCCATTCACTCACTCACTCACCCACTCACTCACCCACTCACTCATCCACTCACTCACCTACTCACTCACCCACCCATTCACTCACCCAGTCACTCACTCTCCCACTCACTCACCCACCCACTCACTCACCCACTCACTCACCCACTCACCCACTCACTCACCCAGTCACTCACTCACCCACCCACCCATTCACTCACCCAGTCACTCACTCACTCACCCAGTCACCCACTCATTCACTCACCCAGTCACTCACCTACTCACTCACCCATTCACTCACCCAGTCACTCACTCACCCATTCACTCACCCAGTCACTCACTCACCCATTCACTCACCTACTCACCCACCCATTCACTCACCCAGTCACTCACCCACTCACTCAACCACTCACCCACCCAGTCACTCACCCACTCACCCACCCACTCACCCACCTACTCACCCAACCACTCACCCACCCACTCACTCAGTCACCCACTCACCCACCCACTCACTCAGCCACTCACCCACCCATTCACCCACCCACCCACTCACCCACCCACCCACTCACCCACCCACCCACTCACCCACTTACTCACCCAACCACTCACCCACTCACTCACTCACCCACCCACCCACCCACTCACTCACCCACTCACCCACCCACTCACCCACCCACCTACTCACCCACTCACTCACCCACTCACTCACTCACCCATTCACTCACCCACTCACCCACCCACTCACTCACCCACTCACCCACCCACTCACTCACCCACTCACCCACCCACTCACTCACCCACTCATCCACCCACCCACTCACTCACCCACTCACCTACTCACTCACCCACTCACTCACCCACCCCACCCACCCACTCACCCACCCACCCACTCACCCACCCACCCACTCACCCACTCACCCACCCACTCACCCAACCACTCACCCATCAGCGCCATCTCCTCTCTCACCAGCAGGGGGCGACAGAGCCAATTGTGAACTCTATGGGTGTCCAAAGCAGCCTCAGCAAGCGTACGCATTACAAAATATTTCTTATTACTGTTTGCAAAACACAACGTTCTATAAACATAAAAACTGATGTGTAATTCTAAACACCTCATTATTTACAACTTAAAAAAATATATATATTTTAAGAATAAAAATGTGCATCGGCCGGGAATCGAACCCGGGCCTCCCGCGTGGCAGGCGAGAATTCTACCACTGAACCACCGATGCTGTACGAATACGTTGGGTACCGTAAAGCCTTACATAGTCAACCATTACGGTGTCAAAGTTAGCTTTTTGTGCTTTTTAACAATGTAAAAGTGTATTTTTAATTAGTTTAATGAGGTAATATAGGTCACATATTACCTCATATATGATGTGTCAACCTCCTCATACCAACTCCATCACTAATGCTGAGCAGTCGTCCTTACATAGCCAACCTTTAAAGCGTTATACAATGTAATTTTATTGGTTTTATGAGGTAATATGAGTAACATATATCATATATTCCCTTCTAACGTGGTGGTGACTTTACCTAAAGAACCAAGAATAATAATTTTATTGTTTTATATTTTTATTATTTTATTGTTTCCCTTCTAACGCGGCGGTGACTTTACCGAAAGAACCAAGAATATGAATCACTGACAGTCACGAAAAGCTTGAAATCAAAATTTCTGCAGAAGGATGTTCATCTCCATTTATATTAAAGGCAAAGTTGTGATTGTGTTTATTTTCGTTACTTATTTTTTTTATTATTTCAGTTTATTTATTTCGATATAGCCCAAACAAAAACACCAACAAGAAAAAAATCTTTAAAGTGACTGCTACGCGTTGACTTTGTGCAAAACAGAAAAACCATGGGAAAATAAAAAAAACAGCTAAAATATTGTAGTAATAGGTTTTACCCTTTTAACTGGCACACAAAAAAACTGACACCTTTATTCAAGGCATCATGTCTGCAATAACCACAACACAGTCAAAATGCAATCAAAAAGAGACAACTCTGATAATAATAATATTGGCACTGTCCTTAAATTTGATTGGTCCACACCAGAGACGGCTTTTCTTAGAGCCCTTTAGTCTCCGCTGGTGTTGGACCAGAAGACGCCAAAAGGCGTACAACTCAAAAACAGCGCACCATCAGAGTATTGAGGGGCTCTGGGTGAACATTTACATTATGAGACCTTTGCCAGTAAACAAGATATAGTAATAGGTTTTTACCCTTTTAACTGGCACAAAAAACTGACACCTTTATTCAAGGCATCGTGTTTGCAATAACCACAACACAAGCAGTCAACATGCAAACAAAAAGAGACAACTCTGATAATGATATTGGCACTGTCCTTGAATTTGATTGGTTGAATAAATGTGTCAGTTTTTTGTGCCAGTTAAAAGGGTAAAACCTATTACTATGTGCTTATTATTATTATTCAATACCCGATAACTCTCCTTTTTAACACGCAAAAACTTTTGATCGGGTATTGAATAATAATAATAATAAGCACATAGGAATAGGTTGTACCCTTTTAACTGGCACAAAAAAATGACACCTTTTATTCAAGGCATCATGTCTACAATAACCACAACACAAGCAGTCAAAATGCAATCAAAAAGAGACAACTCTGATAATGATATTGGCACTGTCCTTGAATTTGATTGGTCCACACCAGAGACGAATTTTCTTAGAGCCCTTTAGTCTCTCCGCTGGTGTTGGACCAGAAGATGCCAAAAGGCGTACAACTCAAAAACAGCGCACTATCAGAGTATTGAGGGCTCGGGGTGAGCATTTACATTATGAGACCTCCTTTGCCAGTAACAAGATATAGTAATAGGTTTTACTCTTTTAACCGGCACAAAAACTGACACCTTTATTCAAGGCATCATGTTTGCAATAACCACAACACAAGCAGTCAAAATGCAAACAAAAAGAGACAACTCTGATAATAATATTATTGGCACTGTCCTTGAATTTGATTGGTCCACACCAGAGACGGCTTTTCTTAGAGCCCTTTAGTCTCTCCGCTGGTGTTGGACCAGAAGACGCCAAAAGGCGTACAACTCAAAAACAGCGCACCATCAGAGTATTGAGGGGCTCTGGGTGAACATTTACATTATGAGACCTCCTTTGCCAGTAACAAGATATAGTAATAGGTTTTACCCTTTTAACTGGCACCAAAAACTGACACCTTTATTCAAGGCATCATGTTTGCAATAACCACAACACAAGCAGTCAAAATGCAAACAAAAAGAGACAACTCTGATAATAATATTATTGGCACTGTCCTTGAATTTGATTGGTCCACACCAGAGACGGCTTTTCTTAGAGCCCTTTAGTCTCTCCGCTGGTGTTGGACCAGAAGACGCCAAAAGGCGTACAACTCAAAAACAGCGCACCATCAGAGTATTTACATTATGAGACCTCCTTTGCCAGTAACAAGATATAGTAATAGGTTTTTACCCTTTTAACTGACACACAAAAAAACTGGCACCTTTATTCAAGGCATCATGTTTGCAATAACCACAACACCAAAAGCAAAAATATTCCTGAAAAAAAGCAGCGTATACACCACCACCACCACCAACGCTGTGTTCAAACAATCCCAGTTGGGATGCAAAGTCAAACAACAACCACAACAACAACCACAACAACAACAACCACAAGACAACTTTAGATTAAGGCCGTCAGTCTAACTCCGCACTTACAACAAAAGCAAAAAACACCGTGTCCAAACCAAACAAACGTTTTCGAAATCACCGAAAAACCTAAAGCCGTAATTGCCACGTAACAGCGATCATCACAGCGGGACTGTGACCGATTTTTTAAACGATAAACTACATATTGTTAGCTCTTTCGGTAAAGTCACGTTGAAGGGAAACAATAAGAATGATAAAATATATATAAAAACGAAT